CCCGTTCGGGAGGGATTAAAAGTCAATTAAAATTGAAAATATGATCGTTATTGGACCCCACTCGTCTAATAAAAGTCAACAATAACGGCTATATTTTCAATTTTAATCTGATTTTAATCCCTCCCACACAAGCCCATAGTATTGTGTTCTTAAAATGAAGTGAAACATAATCACAAAGAGACAGTGGAAGAAAATTGATTACCCATGGATCTATTTTAAGGTTTTAATTGATGTTTCTCACTTTTTTTTTTGAAATTCTATCATTTTTCTAAGTGTTTGTTACTTTTTGAATTTTTATCACTTTTTTGACATTCTGCCATTTCCAACTTATAGTGTTTAGTTCCTAAAATAAAGTGAAAATTAATCATTTACTTTTTCAATTTCGTCACTTTTTTTGAATTTGTGTCACAAGTTTAGAAAACTATCGCTATGTCTAAATTTCTACCAAAAGTCTTAACAAAGTAAATTAGATACTGATCATTCAAAGAGAATATCACCATCATACTATTTCTATTACTTTTTTGAATTTATGTCATTTTCAGTATTTGTCGTTTTTTTAAAATTCTATCACTTTTTGAGTGTCCGTCACTTATTTTCTTTTATGTCTTTTTTTTTAATATGTCACTTTTTTAGTGTNTTTTTTTTTTTTTTAATTTGTCACTTTTTAAAAATTTTGTCATTCTTTTGAACATCACTCACTTTTTTGAGTGACAAACATTACTTTTTAATAAAAGTGACATTGCATATCATTTTTTAATAAAAAGGTGACACTTAAGTTCAAAAAGTAACACTTAATTTTACCATGAAATTTTTACTTCCAATATACATTTCATATAATTTTTCAAAAGACCTTTAAGTTACCCAATCAATATTGTGATAAGTTGTCCAAATAACTTTCAAGCGATATGTTTGCCATAACATGTACAAAACCCTTGACAGTAAGATAAGGTAAAATATATCTTAATTTGTCTGTTTGAGCTTCACTGCTTGTCAAAAATATATTTTGAAATAACGATTTGATGGAAAATGTGTTATAGAAAAGTCAATGAATCCACTTTTAAATAGAAGCAAGAAGTTGTCCAGAGAGTTTAAAAATTAAAAAAAGTTTTGAATTTACGTAGTGTTATTTTATTGAAAAATTTGTGATTGAAAATAAGAGAGAGAGAAATGTATTTTAAAAATAATAGGGATCAAATAAAGGTTAAATATATTTATATAATACAATTATTTTTCATTGAATTTCTATTTAAAACGTACTAACAAGCCAAAATATCAGTATACCATAGTGTCAAAAAAATATTAAAAACTACAAATTCACTTCATGACCCATTCAATGTAAAATCCATTGTTTAAAATTTAAGTTGGTCCACTACTATCTTATCCATTATGTTGTCTGTTCAATCATTATGTACGAAACGTGCCTTTAAATTTATTACGGCGCATCACCCGTAGGCAATACTCATCAATCTCTTCCTGCCAATGAGTTACCAGTATCGTCAAGGCTATTTCGCATATTTCACTGTCGTCATGAGTCTGTAGGTTCTTAATCTTTTGAAGACCCCCAGCATCATCAATCATATGACCCCGTGCATATGAAAAGTCTTTTACGCCATAAAATAAGGGCATAGTATGAAAGCGTAGCGTGCGTTAGGCTGTACAAGCAATCTTGTGGTTGATTGGATATTAATAAAGTTTGATTTGAAAAGAAACCTAAAGTATATTACAGTTCATAGAGAATTTGGATTTTGTGGCCTCTTCCGGCCAATATTTTTTAAGTGTCCTCATGGCATTTACGCGTATTTGTCTGTCATCGTGATCAGTCTGGAGGTCCTTAATCTTCTGTATACCTCCAGCATCATCAATCATCTGAGCAAAGACATTCACATCATCGGTGTTACATTGGTTCTTCTCAGCTTCTCCACCCTTCAGAATGTTCTCAAGGCCTTCCGAGCAGATTTTTATGACATGCACTTTGTAGGGA